GTGCGTGCCTGTAATCCCAACTACTCAGGAGGCTGAGGCAGGAGAATTGCCTGAACCCAGGAGGCGGAGGTTGCGGTGAGCCGAGATCGCGCCATTGCACTCCAGCCTGGGTAACATGAGTGAAACTCCGTCTCAAAAAAAAAAAAAAAAGATCTGAGTCATAGTTCCTGGTGATTCTCCAATGTATGACCCTCAACTCCCCTAGTGTCTGAATGGCTCCCAGCTATTGGTCAATTTTGGCCTGAGCCCTGCTGTTCCTCTGACCCCTCGTCAGTTTGCTCTGCTGTGTCCAGCCCTGCTTTATCAGATCGACAGCCGTGTCTGCATAGGAGCTCCAGCCCCTGCACCCCCAGGGGATCTACTATCTGGTCAGCAAGTAGGAGTGGGTGGGGGGCACCCTGAATCCTGGAATTGGGGCCCATGCCAAGGAAGGAGGCTCACTGGGGTCCTGCCTCTCCTTCGAGTGTTCTCTGTCCCACCTTACGTATGGAGCCCTCCTCTGGCCCTGATCTAACTTCAGCCCCTGATTCTCCCCAGCCCTGCTTCAGAGTGCCCTGGCAGTCCTGTTGCTCAGCCTCCCTTCTCCCCTATCCCTGCTGCTGCTGCGGCTCCTGGGACCTCGTCTACTGCGGCCCCTGCTGGGCTTCCTGGGGGCCCTGGCTGTGGGCACTCTTTGTGGGGATGCACTCCTACACCTGCTGCCACATGTATGTGAAACCCCTTCCTTGTACCCCTGTCCCCAATGGAGGATGGCCTCCATGGATCTAAGGTGTCCCCAGCTGTAGGGCATCCCCTCTCCCTTTCCATCAGCTCCCACATCCTACTCCTGGACCCTGGCTTGAGCCCATGGCTGCCTTCTACTAGAGCATATGAGCAAAGGCTTGCCGCTACCCATGCGTGAAGGGGATGCTGTCGGGTATAGGGGCTTCCAGGGTCTGCCCTGACCTTTACTCTGTCAGGCACAAGAAGGGTGGCACACAGGACCTGGTGGACTACCAGAGGAGGACCTGGGCCCAGGGCTGTCTGTGCTCGGAGGCATCTTCCTGCTCTTTGTGCTGGAGAACATGCTGGGGCTTTTGCGTCACCGAGGGCTCAGGCCAGTGAGTTATACTCTTCTCTTCCTTCTGCTGAGACCAGAGTCCCAGTCAAGAACTGGCCCAAAAAGCCAGAAGGTGAGGAGCAGTGTGTGCTCCTGGATCTCTGACATTTGCCTGGTGTACAGGGCCTATCAGCTAACAGGGAGTGGGTAGGGACTCCTTAAGCACAGACCCAAGACTTCTGGCCAAATCTCGTCCTCTCCTGAGCTCAAGTCAACAAAAAACAGAGGGGAGGTGCCAACTTGGGAAGAAGGTAGAGGCCAAAGAGCATCCCAGGTGCCAGAGGTGGAACCAGGTGTTCATCTTCCCAGCTTGTGCCCTGGCTTCCCCTTAGTCCCTGGCCCTGCTGCCTCCTCCACCAGAAGGAATGCCTTCCTATTTCAGAGATGCTGCAGGCGAAAACGAAGGGACTTCGAAACACGAAACCTGGACCCAGAGGATGGCAGTGGGATGGCCCTTCAGCCCCTACAGGCAGCTCGAGGTGACAAGAGGAGAAAATTTGAAGAGTAGGTTCCTAGCTCACAGTCCTTACTTGCAGCCACCAACACTGTCCTGTGCTTCTTACCACAGAGCCAGGGGCTCAGGGCCAGAGGGAGCAGAACCACCAGCACCCACCAGCCCCAGCCCCTCCTGGGCACCAAGGCCACAGTCATGGGCACCAGGGAGGCACCGATATCACGTGGATGGTCCTCCTGGGAGATGGTCTACACAACCTCACTGATGGGTTGGCCATAGGTGTGAGGGGTGGGAATGGAGGGAGGCAGGTCCGAGGGGAGGCCCGGGCTCCTAGTTATCAGCTGGGACTAGGAGAGGGCCATCAGGAGGATGGGGAGAGGATGGGAGGACCATGGAACACAGGAGCCTGCTTCTGAGGAGACTTTTCTTCTGGAATGACAACTTTCAACCCTGCTGGCCCCAGGTGCTGCCTTCTCTGATGGCTTCTCCAGTGGCCTCAGTACCACCTTAGCAGTCTTCTGCCATGAGCTGCCCCACGAACTGGGTAGGAATGGCAGGAGTAGGGTGGGGTGGACGCCAGAGAGGAGATTGCTCTAAGGGGTACAGCTTGGAGACTGGCGGGTGGCAAGGGTGAAGGGCAGCCCCAGTTGACTCCCTCCCATCCTGTGCTCTCTCTCCAACAGGTGACTTTGCCATGCTGCTCCAGTCAGGGCTGTCCTTTCGGCGGCTGCTGCTGCTGAGCCTTGTGTCTGGAGCCCTGGGACTGGGAGGCGCAGCCCTGGGGGTGGGGCTCAGCCGGGGCCCCGTCCCCCTCACTCCCTGGGTGTTTGGGGTCACTGCCGGGGTCTTCCTCTACGTGGCCCTTGTGGACATGGTGAGAGATGTCGGGTAGAGCAGAGAAATCAAGGGCAGTGGGGAGCAGGCATGGAGGAGAGGGAGGTAGCAGTCCTTCCACCTCCACCACCAGCTCCTGAAAGGGTGTCAGACCGCAAGCCCGCAAAAGTCTGAGAAACAAGGGACTGAGGCGTTTGGGCGGGGGCTGGCGATGCTTTCTGACACCCTCCCTCTGGTGTTGAGAGGTCAGGGGCAAGGCCAGAATGCTGACATCCTCCCTCCTTTTCTTTTAGCTGCCAGCCCTGATTCGTCCTCAGGAGCCCCTGCCTACGCTCCACGTGCTCCTGCAGGGGCTGGGGCTGCTGCTGGGGGGCAGCCTCATGCTTGCCATAGCCCTGCTGGAGGAGCGGCTACTGCCTGTGGCTGCTGAGGGCTGACTGAGGGCTGACAGGGCCAGTGGAAAGGGGTCGGGGTTGCCCTTCCTTCCCCCCAACCACAGGAATGGAGGCGGGACACAGGGCCAGTAGGAGCAATAGGATTTTAATAAACAGAACCCATCCCAAAGCCATGACTACGACAGTTGTACTTGCACCAAAACAGCATAGAAAATCAGGGTGTGGTGGGAGGACCCGAAGCCGGTTGGGGAGGATGTGAATATGAGTAGGGGCCTGGCGGGTGCAGGGTCATTAATCTGCAGGGAGAGCATTGTGCTTTAGCCCAGGGAGGGGAGGGGTGGGGCAAATGCACCGAGGTCCCCACTTTTTCCTGCTGCCCTTCACACCCTGGGGATGCAGGCATCTGGGCACATCTGCCCCTTATTGCTGCCCACCAGCGTTAAACACCCCCGATCCCAACACTAGCACCACAGGTGGTTCCGGGGCAGGGAGGCAGGAATGGGAAAATTGCTTAGAGAAAGATTCCACTAGAATCCAGTGAATTGTGCTCAGTTCTCTTTACTTCCTACAACCGAGTACATGGGTCACAGGGTGGAGGGTGCAACAGGACGTGGAACATGCCCCTCCGTGCCCCCCAACACACACCTGCACACAGGATGGTGGTGTCTGCAGCATCACAGGTCATGCAGGGCATGGGGAAGGGGAGGTTCACGCACACATAGATGCCCACAGCGGGTACCAGACAGAGAACACCCCTGAATATACACAGCTGTACATGGGGAACCCCCAGGTCCCCACCCCAACCCTCTCCCCTGTCTTGCTGTCCCCCGCAGGGGAACTATATTGCTTTGAGAGAGCCACCCTGGGGGCTGCTCTACCAGGCACCCCCCCCTCCCTCCCACCCCCATTTTGGCACATCTGCAAGACACACAGCAGCGAGAGTAGGCACCCTCCCTCCCAGGCTTCTGCGGCCTGGAGCTGGGGAAGGGGGTAGGAGACTTCATCCTCCATCCTCCCCTAACCCTTCCCAAACCCCTGCCAAACCCACTCCAGCCAGAACCCACCCCCACCCCAAACACACATACAAAGCTGAGCTATCCAGGAACACAAGGGGAACAAGGAGATTGTCTGGGGAGGGAGTGGAGGCAGCGGGGGAAGAAGACTGGAAGCAGAGACCTCCCCCCTTGTGGGGGGAAGACTGGCACAACAGCTACTTTAGTGCAATTGGAGAGGGTGCCCAGAGTGAGGGGTGGAGAAGGGAGGGAAGGTGCTCCCCAACTTCCCTGGGGGCAATGTCAGGCTTCCAGATTCCCCAGGGAAAGGGCCTAGCAGGAGCGGGCGAAGGCCAAGGTAGATCCTCTGGTTACCCGCCATCCTCTGCCCTCCCAAATGCAGTGACAGTGTCCCCCTCACACGTAAGTGGGCAACAGCAGCCTTGGAGTCAGTACCTTCAAGTAATTCAAAGAGCAGACCCTCCCCACCCCAGCTTCACCCCATTTCTGGGATTTGGTCGCTTCTCTAGGGGTTGGGTTGGGAGGAGGGAGCCCCCAAGGCAGACCCTTCCCTCTCTACCTTCCGCTTCCCAGACCACTGGGCTTGGTCCTCAAAGATTCCTCACCTCCACCCTTGCCCAACCTGTGTCAAGGCTGCGGAAGGCTGGAGCCACCACAATGAGAGGGGAAGGGACTGCTTTGTTCTTTATCCCTCCTTACAAGGTAGGGTTCAAACTAGGCGGGATGGGGGCCCATACTGGTTTGCCCCAGGAGTAGGGTTTCTGGGCTAGGGTCTGTAAGGCTATTTTCCTTTGCGGTGGGAAGGGGAGGTAGGGGATGAACACTGGGTATGGGAAGGGGCTGAGAAACGGCTGAGAGGGAAGGAGGAAGGGGCCTCCCCGCTGGAGCGGTCACTGGAGTCATTTAGACAAAAACACTCATGTGCGTAAGATACACAGTGTGCGTACTCAGCCCCACCAGCCTGGCCCTAATCCCACCTCTCAGGACCCCTTCCAAGACCCTGGAGGAGGTTTTGGGGGTATAGCTGGAGAACCATTCACTCGGGCCCCATCCACCCCACCCCCAGCCTCTTCTCCTCTTCTAGGTCCAGGGAGTAAGAAGGTGCTCGGGTGGGCAGACAGTGGTGGAAACAGTATTGAGTTTTCCTTTGGTTACATATTGAAGGCAAAGGTGAGCTGGACTTACAGTCAAAACGGATAGGGGTGAGGAAGGAGGAGGGGCCATGGCTGGGGTTGGAGAGGGAGGTAGGCCCTCCTCAGCCCCTCCACCCCAAGGAACACGTCTACGTGGGGTGGCAGTCCCTCAGTCTCGTCTCTCCCACCCCCCACAGCACCAAACAAAAGGAGAAGCCCCCTCCCCCAGGGGCTGCTCCCCACCCCAACCTGGGCTGTACATTCAGTGGTTTTCAGCAGTCCTATGGCTCAGGGGGCCACGGGGCAGGGGAGGTGGCCCATCAGTCGCAGTGGACAGTGGCAGTGACCCGGGTCTGCTGGTCCATCCTGGGACCCACAGTTTGTGCCGTTCGTTTTTCTGAAGGATAGTACACGACCCTACCAGAGCCACCGCCCAACCAGAAACAGCTCCCCAAAAATCAGAAACTAAAAACTGGCTCTTTCCATCTCACCCTCTGATTCACACATCTGTTTCCCTGTCTCCTATGTCGCCCTCGCTCTGTTTCCTTTGCTGGGACCTGGGGTTGCTCCCAGGGTCCTTGCTTAAAATAGGCCTTTTCACAAAAGTGCTTATTACTTGAAGCAAGTGCTTTAGAGCTGCGGTGGGGAGAGGGGGGAGGGGGAGGACAAAGGGAAGGCGCTGTTCCCCCCCATCCCCCCTGAAGATTGGGGGGCATTCTGCCTGTTTTACTTCTCCACACCCGTTTAAGTCAAAGAGGTTTAAAAAAAAATCTTAACATTAAAATAAATATTCAGTGGCCATGAGAATGGTCAAAATGCTTCAAAAAACACTACGGCTGGGGAGCCCGGGGTGGGGCGTGGAGTTTCCTTTGGCATAAGGAGAGGAGGCTGCTTGTCCCCCAGGCTTCCTCACAGCCACATATGTAGGGACAGAGGACTCCCCACCACCTCCCAGCACTGCTGACAGTGCGCTGAGGGCAGCAGGGAGCAGTCAGCCCCCAGAAATCTCATCTAGCAAGACAACGGGGCTCCTGACAGATACTCAGATGCTTCCCGCCATCGCCAAATGTCAAGAAAGGAGAACACGACTCACACCCCGCAAGTTCTCTCTGGAGGACCCATCTCCCCGCTCCCCTTGCCCCCCACCACCTAATTCCCAGCACCAAGATGAGAGGGAGGGGGTGGAATGGGAAGATTTCAGGAGAGAGAATTGAAGAGAGGACAAGCTTTGCAGAGCCAGCAGGGTTGGGGATGGGGGCTGCAGCCCTTAAGAGAGGTCACATTGATTGTCGTATAGGGAAGGACATGGTGTGGAGGGAGGTGGGCAAGGGGGGCGTCACAGGCCCTTTGGCTTTGAAAACAAAAATAAAAACTAAAAGCTGCACAATCCTTCTCACCAATAATGGTCATTTGGAAGCCTTGAAATGGTTTAGGAACTGAGGGTTGGGAGAAGCAAGACACAGAGAGACAGGGGATCAAAAGGGATCATCAAAAGATACGGACTTGGAAAACACCCCAAGCTTCTGGAAACCAGCATGAGGTATGGTTAAGGGTATCCACTGGGGAGGGAGGGGGTCCCTTGGATGCCCCCCTCCCCTCAGCCCACCCTTGGCAAGGGTGGCAAGACATTCAGGGGACACAACTGAAAGATGGGCAAGACTGTGAATAAAGCAAACTTGGGTAGGGGAGGGAGGCTGAAGGATCCCCCCAGGGGGAGACCCTGTACTGTGTAAACGAAGCCTGTCCAGTTCTCAGGGGACAATACTGATGGCAGCCAAACTGGGCAAGGATGCACTGTGGGGGCAGAGGGGGCATGACCTCTATTCAAGTTCTGTGTCTTGGCCCCTGGCTGAGGTATTGAGTGTGAGGAAGGGAACACTGGGCTGCAGGAGTGGGTCCAACTGTCCAGGAGGCTGCACTAGGAGATGGGTGGACAGAGCACTTAAAGGGACCAGGGCCAAATTCAATGCTACATTTAGAGAGAAAACTGCCCCCTCCTCACTCCAGCCCAGTTTGGCTTTTGGGGTGTGACTGTGAGAAATCTTATCAGTGCAGCCCCTAGCTCAATCTCATCTCTCTTCCCTGCTGGGAAGGCAGGGACCAAGCCCCAGTACTATTCATCTTTCTCTAGGTCAGAGCTTCTTCCTCACACTGGAGGGGAAGCCTGGGTCCCGAGTAGCCACGGTCCCTTGTTGGCCCTGCCCCTCCTACCATCTTTGGCTTCAGATCAGGAGTGACTGGGGCAGTAGGTACTCTTGGACATAAAGGAAGGTGGAGGTGGAGGCAGACAGGGAGCACAGAGAAACTGTGGGATGGGGGGCACAGGAGGAAGAACATGGTCCCTCCCTCCATATACATGCAAACACATGCCTGAAACACAAAGGACATACTAGGGCTGTGGTTTTGAAATGGGCAGGAAGTTAACTTGTGTCTTCCGCTAAAGGATAAAACGCTTACTTAAAAATTCATGACAAGCCTCAAAGATCAAGGAAAGGAGAGCTAGGGCGGGAATGGCCAAAGGCTCTGCCCTCCCAAAAGAAGGTAAAAGAAGCAAGGTTAAAGTGCGTGGTTAGGGGCCAGGCTGGGAGTGGGAGGGAAGGGGAAAGGGGCAGGCTGTGGGGGCAGAACCAGCCCTTGATTTGCATATGAGGAGCCAGGGGAGAGTGCAGGATTGGGGCCCAGGTACAGTAGTTGCTGCTTCAAGTGTTTTGCATTTGAACTTTAGGGGTGATAGGGTACAAAGTGGGGAAAAAACTCCAGGCCCCAGTGCTAAATATCCTCCCCCCTCATCCTCTAGCTGCCCCTGAAGGGGGAGGGGGACACCCCCAGAGTGCTCACACAGTACCAGAAATTAAGGCTTCTCACTGCTGCGGGGATGGAGGGACCGGCCGAGCAGGGAGGCAGTGATGGGTATGGAAGAAGAGGGGATCTGCCTGGCAGTAGGGGCAGGGGAGAAGGGGGACACAGAGAGGAGTCCCCAGGGAAGAGTTGGGGAGCTGGCAGCAGAAAGAGGGAACCAAGAGATGGAGTCAAAGAGTAGGGGAGCCAGGCATTTAGCAATCATTTTGGGACACTTGGCAGAAGGGGTCACCCTGGGGGTACCAAGGGCCTGGGGTGCTCCCTGTCAGTCCCAGACCCCTGCCAGGCCAAGATGGTGTGGCAAAGGGGTGAGTAGCTGCTCCCCAGGGCTTTCTTCCCCTCTGCCCCCTCCACCCAGTCGTGTTCTCCTTTAAAGTGCCCTAAATGTTTAGACTTTTTCTAAATAAATAGAATTAGATATCAAGCCACCGGCGGGGAAGGGACACTGGAGGGGGCTACTCAGAGTAGCAGCCGTCTAACCCAATGGCACCGGGCCGCTCCTGGCTGTAGGGGCAGGAGGCCCCGTGGGGCAGGGCGCCGCAGCCACCCACCGTCTTGGCGGCTGCAATGCCGCAGTTCTTGAGCAGGCTGAAGCTGAAAGGACTGACGGCGTCCTTGGGTGGGAAAGGCTTCATGGTGGAAAGGATCAAGGCCAGGCAGTCTGCCACATCTTTGTTGGGGGCACAGGCCAGTGCTGGGGTGTGACCTGCAGAGCCAACGGGGAGAACTGAGGCAGAGTCCTGTATCCCAGCCAGCCTCCCCCAGGCCCTGAAGTCTCTTCTCTACGGAGGAAGGCAAGGCAAGCAGGTACCCAGCAGGGGCAGAATCCAAAGGTGACAAGGGCCCAGGAAGGCTGACAGGCAGATTCCCTAAGTGCAGGCTAAAGGGCGGGCATGGGAGACAGAGCCTGGGTGTGGAGTCCTCCTGACCCTGCAGGCTCCCCTCTGAGACTCCAGAGAACTGGTGTGGGCTCCCTGCTCTGAAGAGTTCCCTTGGGAAGAAAATCCCATGTAGAGCAAGATTAAGAAGTCACTCCTGAAGACTGTCTCTGACCCAAAACCCAGGAGAGGCAGGGGGCTCCGGACCCCACCCACCTTCTTCATCCACAGCCAGCACTGTGGCCCCACGACTCAGCAGGGCCTGCACCACAGAAGCTAGACCATTCCGGGCAGCAATGTGGAGTGGCCTTGGAAAAAAGGAAAAAGAAGGAGCTTGATGCTAAGTTGCCCTTCCACCTCCAGACAGCATGGCAAGGGTGCTGAATGAATATTATGGGCTCCAGAGAGCCCCTTAACAATGGCTACTCTTTTGTCACCCACCAGCCTCCCTCGGCCTGGAGCCCCCTTCCCCAGGCACTCACATCTGCAGCGCACTGTTGGTAGCATTGATAAGGCCAAGGTCTTGGGTTTCTGCCAGGATCATGAGGGCACATTTCTCATGGCCCTGAGAGAGGGGAACAGAGAGTGGAGACTTGTGAAGTAGAAGTGTGGCAGGCTGCAGGGCAGGAATTGGGAAGAGTGACAGGAAGACAAACAGCTGCCCCACCAGTTGGATAATCTGGACAATCCTCACTTCTGGCCCAGTCCCCTCTGCAACCGAGACCTACCCCGCTTCATCAAGCTGTGCCCCTTACACAGGCAGCCCCTAATCGCTTCAGGCAGTACCTTGCTACAAGCCAAGTGGAGGGCCGTGTTCTTGTTCTCATCCAACACAGTAAGGTCTGCCTTCCCTCGGTACAGCAGAAATTCTACAAGAGAAATGTGACAGAGGAACTGACGCCTCCCGCCAGAGCAGCAGCCATCCTGGCTCTCCACTCTCCTATCTGCAAATACTTTGCATCCCGTCCGCAGACGGCGAGACATCCAAAGACAACCCTCCTGCTTTCTGAACCCCAGCCCTAGCTAGTCTCCACAGGCAGGGCTGACCCATCCTGCAAATGCCCCAGGGGAGCTCCTCCCTTCCACATGCGGCCCCTACACACCCACAGCAGCGGTCTGCCCGTTCTCAGCCGCCGTCATGAGCGCAGTGCGGCCAGTGTGGTCAGTGGCGTTCACCTCGGCTTGGTGCTGCAGCAGCATCCGGAGCCCAGAGACATTGTCCGCGAAGGCAGCGGCGTGAAGGGGGGTCCTGTGAGGCGGGGATCAGGGTAGATTAAAATAGGGATGAGTCTACTGCTGGAGCAGAAAGAGGAAGCCAGAGGCAACTGGGCTTCTCCCCAAGTCTTCCATCACTCACCGTCCTTTGGCATCTCGGCTGTTCACAATCTTGGCACCCAGGGCTCCCAGCAGCATCTCTGTGGTGCTGTCCTGGTTATTAATCCTAGAGGAAGAGGGAGAAATGTCATCAGGAAGGACAAGGGAAGTGGACTACTTGTCCTAAGGTCAGGTCACGGGCCCTCAAGAGAAGGGCTGATGCAGCAGAAGGCACTTACACTGCACAGTGCAAAGGAGTGAAGGGATTTCCTTCCAGGTATGAAAACGGGCTGTGTTCAAGTAACAACTCCAGACAATCTTCATGTCCTGGGCATGAGGAAGAAATAGTGATGGAGAAAAACAGCAATCGTCCCTGTCTGTCCTGTGTCTTGACACTCCATTCCACTTCCAGATTCAGATCAACCCAGGTCCCTCCCACAACCCACCCAGACTCCTCTACACACACTGCAACACGCACTCCCGTGCCTCTAGAGGCCCCAGGCTAATACCAGTGTAGGAGGCCCAGTGCATGGGCGAGTATCCGCTGTAATCCACCCCGGCATCCAGGGGGTCTGTGGAAAGGGCGGCCTGCAGCAGGGTCCGCAGTACTGCAGTGTGGCCACAGGCTGAGGCCAGGTGAATGGGCGTGCGGCCCTTGAAGTCTCGGCACAGGACAAATGCGTCATGGTCCAGCAGGGCAGCCAGGCAATCCTCACAGCCAGTCACTGCCTGTGAGTAACATGGGGGGTGAAGGGGATGAAAAGCTCCTCCTTTTCCCCCGGCCTGTTGCTGGGGTCTGGCTCAGGAGTAAGAACCACTTCCAGGGCTCCAATCCTTGACTTTATAACAATGATTACTATTATTTTTTTTGAGATACAGTCTCGCTCTGTCATCCAGGCTGGAGTGCAATGGTGCGATCTTGGCTCACTGCAACCTCTACCTCCCAGGTTCCAGTGATTCTCCTGCCTCAGTCTCCTGAGTAGCTGGGATTTAGGCATGTACCACCATGCCCAGCTAATTTTTGTATTTTTAGTAGAGACAGAGTTTCACCATGTTGGCCAGGCTAGTCTCAAACTCCTTACCTTAGGTGATCCGCCCACCTTGGCCTTCCAAAGTGTTGGAATTATATAGACATGAGCCACCATGCCCGGCCCTTTACAACAATGATTCTAAGTGTTAGGGACCCACATCTTCCTCCTTGACTCTCTCTATGCCAACAGTCAGTCAGAATGCTGAGAGTTAATACTGGAGCTCTGGAGTGAAAGACTAAATGGAGAGAAGAAGGAGACTAAGGGATCAAAAAATCTTCTGGGAGGAGGAGGCAGCTTAGGACAGGTGGTCATGTAAGAGGATCTAGGTGGTGGTGACATTATGTGATGGGATGGGGCCAGCGGGGTATCCCAGGCAGAGTCTTACAAAGTACAGATATTGGCCAGGAGCAGTGGCTCACACCTATAGTCCCAACGTGTTGGGAGGCTGAGGCAAGTGGATCATGAGGTCAGGATATCGAGACATCACGGCTAACACGGTGAAACCTCGTCTCTACTAAAAATATAAAAATTAGCCAGGCACGGTGGCACACGCCTGTAGTCCCAGCTACTTGAAAGGCTGAGGCAGAAGAATTACCTGAACCCAGGAGGTGGAGGTTGTAGTGAGCAGATAATGTGCCATTGTACTCCAGGCTGGGTGACAGAGCGAGACTCCATCTCAAAAATAATAAAAACAAACAAACAAACAAAAAACAGGCCAGGTGTGGTGGCTCACGCCTATAATCCCAGCACTTTAGGAGGCCGACGCAGGTGTCACCTGAGGTTGGGAGTTCAAGACCAGCCCGACCAATGTGGAAATACAAAAATTAGCTGGGTTAATTTTTGTATTTCTACCAATTTTTGTATTTGTAGAAATACAAGGCCGGCCACGGTGGCTCACGCCTGTAATCCAAGCACTTTGGGAGGCTGAGGAGGGCGGATCACAAGGTGAAGAGATCGAGACCATCCTGGCCAACATGGTGAAAATGAGCTGGGCATGGTGGCACATGCCTGTAGTCCCAGTTACTTGGGAGGCTGAGGCAAGAGAATTGCTTGAACCCGGGAGGCAGAGGTTGCAGTGAGCCGAGATCGCACCACTATACTCTAGCCTGGTGCCTGGCGATGAAGAAAGACTCTGTGTCTCAAGCAAAAAAAAAAGAAATACAAAAATTCTACTAAAAATACAAAATTAGCCGGGCATGGTGGCACATGCCTGTAATCCCAGCTACTCGGGAGGCTGGGGCAGGAGAATCACTTGAACCCGGGAGGTGGAAGTTGCAGTGAGCCGAGATCACACCATTGCACTCCAGCCTGGGCAACAAGAGTGAAACTCCATCTCAAAAACAATACAAACAAATGAACAAACAAACAAAAAGCACAGATATCAGGGAAATCAGCTGGGGATGTCAGGGACTCATCCTGGAGCAAGCACAAGGCTCAATAAGACCTTGGGCAGAGCTGGGCATGGTGGCTTATGCCTGTAATCCTAGTACTTTGGGACGCTTAAGGTGGGGGAATCACTTGGGCCCAGGAGTTCAAGACCAGCTTGAGCAAGATGGCAAGACCCCAATCTACAAAAAATAAAAAAATTAGCTGGGCATGATGGCATGTGCCTACAGTTCCAGCTGCTCAGGAGGCTGAGGTAGGAGGATCACCTGAGCCCAGCAGGTCAAGGCTACAGTGAGCTGTGATAGTGTCGCTGTACTCCAAGCTGGGCAATGGGAGTAAGACCCTATCTCAAAAAAAAAAAAAAAAAAAAGACTGGGCCCAAAATCCTGGCTAGCCTCCTAGACAATAGCTAGATGATAGCATGCCCTACTGCTGGTGAGTCCTGTGCTCCCACACTGAGGCCCACATGCAAACGAACCCCCCAGGAAGTTCACTCACCCCGCGGTGGAGGGCGGTGCGGCCCCGGAGGTCAGCAGCATCAGCTGTGGATCCTTTCTCTAGCAGCAGATGTACACAGTCCACATGGCCATTCATGATGGCCAGCATCAGTGGGGTCCTACAGAGGGAGAAGAGGAGGAGTGAGTATCCCATAAGGACTGGAAAACCTGCACCCCACCCTGGCCCACACTCACTGTCCATAGGCATCCATGACATCTGTGATGTCAGCTCGTTCCCCACTGTCGATCAGCAAGTGCAGGGAGTCAGTGTGGCCAGAGGCAGCTAGGGGAAAGGGACCCCATGTCAGGACAGGGCCAGGAGGAGGAAGGGAGGCCAGGTCAAGCCTAAAGGACTTGGGGTCAACGTTACGGGAAGACCTGGGGCAGGGAAAAATCTTTGAGGATAGGAAGATATGAATCAGGGCTTGAAGTCTCCATTCTCCTCACCCTACTCCACTTCCAGCCCCAGCCCCATCCAGGAGGGATCTGGCATGGCAAGGGTAGAGCAACAGCCTAAAGTGGGCACTAACCAGCAGCGTGCAGGGGCGTCCACTTGCGCTTGCGCTCCTTGATGAGGGCAGAGGCGCCATGGGCCGTAAGCACCTCCACACACTCAGTAGAGCCGCGCTCCGTGGCCAGGAAGAGTGCGGTCCGGCCCTTGTGGTCCCTTACATCCAGATTCACCAGCGTTTCCGCCAGGGTCTTCAAGGCTTCACAGTGACCGTTGTAGGCCTGGCGGGGTGCAGGCAACCAGTGCACATAGCTTGAGACATTCCCTGCTCCTCCCTGCCCCTTCTCTGCTCTTGAGGCCCATGGAAAGCTCAAGGCCTTAGTTGTCAACAAGCTCCTTGGGCCCCTCGAGGCTTCTGACCCTGAGCTGTGCTTATCCCCTCTCCCACAAGAAGACAGAAGCAAGGATAACTTCACAAGTACTGGAACCTTTGCTTGGGCCTGTGAGCAGGTAGGACAAGGAAGGCAAGAGAAAAAGACATGGGACTCACAGCTAAGTGCAAAGGGCTGACTGGAATGGTGCTCTCCACATCCTCCAGGCAGTTAAAGGACATTTCTAAGAGCTGCAATGGACAGGAAAGTAGGTGCTGACTCTGGAACTCCCAAGATAGTGCCCCAGTCCCCAGCTCGCAGCAATCCCCACTAAGCCTCTGGGATCTAAAGACCACATTTGATTAAACCATCCTTGATTTCAGAATCCACAAACCCTCTGTGCCCTGCCCCAGCCTCCCCTCCTGCAGGCTGGCCCCAACACATACCAGTTCGAGGTTCTGTCTGTTGCCATAGGCGGCTGCATAGTGCACAGCTGTGTAGCCCTGCTTGTCCCGCAGGGAGGGGTCTGCACCATTATCCAGTAAGAACTCCAGACAGCTGGGGAGCCGGGGGTAGATTGTGAGGCAAGGACAGACCCAGTCCAGGAGGGCACAGTTCCAGGAGGGCCAGAGGAGAGGACCAAGGGAACACCTCCAGGCCTACCTGGCTACCATGTGTCCTCAGCTCTAGGTAGGTTCTTTATATCCTACCCATTCTTTAATCCCAGCTCCAGACCCACTTTACCTTCTCAAGGTCTGCCCTGAACCCCTCTGGCTTCAATGCCCTCCTTTATCCTCTGAACGCTCTCCTAGAGAACCTAGAGCACGATGTTCAGTTATCAACCTTCTGCTGATCGACATGCTTTCCCCAACCTCCAGGCATGCCGAGCCCTGCCCTAGGACGTCTTTTCCTCCCAGCCCATCTGAACAAGTCCTGCTCATCTCAAACTCAGTCCCAGCATCTCTCCTCGGTAGCCTTTCCCAGCCTTCCCTGCGGAAGGTGCCTTTTCCTCTGTAGTCTCTTGGCAGCCTTCTCATACCTTAGCGGTGGTTGTAGTAGTAATAACCATAATAATAAAGTATTTAGCACTTACTGTCAAGCACAGTTCTAAGTACTTCATTTATATTAAATAATTTCATCCTCATAAAGATTCTATAAAGTAGAATACTAGTTGGCCAGGCTGGTCTCAATCTCCTGACCTCGTGACCTGCCTGCCTCGGCCTCCCAGAGTGCTGGGATTACAGGCGTGAGCCACTGCTCCTGGCCTAAAGTAGATACTATTTTTATCCCTACTGTGAGTGATGAAATTGAGGCACAGAGAAGTTAAGTAACCTGCTGAAGGTAACACCTGAGCCTCTTTGATTTTAGTGTCCTTTTTTAAAAAAAAAAAAATCTTTTTTTTTTTTTTTGGGCAAAATCTCCCTCTTTCTCTGGGCTGGAGTGCAGTGGAGCGATCTTGGCTCACTGCTACCTCTGCCTCCCGGGTTCAAGTGATTCTCCTGCCTCAGCTGCCGAGTAGCTGGGATTACTGGTGCCCACCACTATGCCCAGCTAATTTTTTGTATATATATATATATATATATTTTTTTTTGAGACGGAGTTTCACTCATGTTACCCAGGCTGGAGTGCAATGGCGCGATCTCGGCTCACCGCAACCTCCGCCTCCTGGGTTCAGGCAATTCTCCTGCCTCAGCCTCCTGAGTAGCTGGGATTACAGGCACGCACCACCATGCCCAGCTAATTTTTTGTATTTTTAGTAGAGACGGGGTTTCACCATGTTGACCAGGATGGTCTCGATCTCTTGACCTCGTGATCCACCCGCGTCGGCCTCCCAAAGTGCTGGGATTACAGGCTTGAGCCACCGTGCCCGGCCCAATTTTTTGTATATTTAGTAGAGATGGGCTTTCACCATGTTGGCCAAGCTGGTCTCGAACTCCTGACCTCATGATTTGCCCACCTCGGCCTCCCAAAATGCTGGGATTATAGGCGTGAGCCACTGCGCCCGGCCTAAAAAAATAAATCTTAAAAAAAAAAATTATTGCCGGGCACGGTGGCTCAAGCCTGTAATCCCAGCACTTTGGGAGGCCAAGGCGGGTGGATCACGAGGTCAAGAGATCGAGACCATCCTGGTCAACATGGTGAAACCCCGTCTCTACTAAAAATACAAAAAATTAGCTGGGCATGGTGGCGCGTGTCTGTAGTCCCAGCTACTCAGGAGGTTGAGGCAGGAGAATTGCCTGAACCCAGGAGGCGGAGGTTGCGGTGAGCCGAGATCGCGCCATTGCACTCCAGCCTGGG